AAAAAAAAAATAATAATAATAATAATAAAATAAAAAAAATGACAAAAGCACAATATTACTAAAACATATGCTAATATGAAAATATACAAATAAAAGCTAATTCAAAATATAAATGGATAATATATTAAATAATAATAAAACAAATACTAAAATTCCACTGGCAATAACTAGACTATTATTAGCTTTGCATGCAGTACAGGGATTCACCAAGCTCAAGGCACCTGAACAACACTTGTATCAAATTATTGTTCACACACATTTGTCTCATTTTGGTTTGGGAATTTTTCTGGATAAAAATAATAATTCAGGCTGCAATAACTAACCATGGTAACTGTGGTACTTTGAATGTCAAATGAAATGAACAGAATAATGCATTAGATTGATATTTTTATCTTTGTTCATCCATGTGCAGCAAAATCTGGAGCAGAGGAGAAGCAGACAGAGCCAGACAGAGACACAAGAGAGATCAGAAACCGAGGTAAATGCTACGGTCACCTTCTTCTGAAACCCATGATTATCTCATCGAGTTCCTCTGACAGAATCAGGAGTGTCTAACTACCTTTTACAAAAAGCTATTTTCCACTACATTTTGTTTTGTCACTTTTGAAGTATTGACCTCTGGGTGGCGCTCTTCATTTTAGCTGAAATACAGAGACCGGGCCGCAGAAAGGAGAGAAAAAGGGGCCGTCCCACAAGCACCAGATGCAAAAAAGAGGAGATTCAGCCCTGTGTAAGTCCTACTTCATATATACTGTCGGTTAAATGCATTGCTGTCACAGACATCGTGATACCATGTTATTTGGGGGTGTACTGTGGTAATAACATGGTGTTTGAGTATAATGTCTTGTTTTTTGCTCTTGCTCGTGGTCAGCAGTGGCGTGGGATCTCAGATGCTTCCTGGAAGAATGGAAAAGGGCTTTTTCATCCGGAACCTGCCAGTGGAATAATGGTGGATGTCTTTGGACTTCCTTCAGTGCTAAACGAAATGCCTCGGGAGCAGTTTTTAATCATATGGTGCAGAGCACGTGCGCAATGCAAAGAGACCATCTCCAGGATATTTGACAAACAGTAGAATGATGTGGAAATGTGCAGATTTATATATATATATTTGTGTGTGTGTGTTACTTTTTGGGATTCAGGTTGATTTAAAGAAAAACCCTCAGGACCCTGAGAAATACGAAAAAGCTACTATTGATAGCACAGTTACTGTAAATATGATCCAACTATGTTACATTCTTGTACTTTATCCCATTGTCAGCTTCCCAGAAAGCAATTTGAAAACATTTGTAGATGGCATGAGTTTATGTGACGCATTTTGCGTTTCTGGGAAGCTGTGAAAAT